CAATTATTGTTTTCTAAAGCAACACTAATCAATGTAGAAAAAGTGCACTTTTTTTTCTTTTTTTTTTTCTTTTTTGTGAGTTTGTGTATTGTATGGACTGCAGAAATAAAAAAAATATATATTTTTTCCATTTTCAATTGTTTTTTCTTAATTTGTTTAGGGTTACCTTAAAAAAGCCTTAAATGTATTTGTATAATAACTGCATCAGCTTGTACCAGAATAATAATTTACATTTTTTAAAAAATTTTTTTAAATGGGACAAATTATAGAATAAAAATGATTCTTTTTATCTACAGTAACAATTATTGTTTTCTAAAGCAACACTAATCAATGTAGAAAAAAGTGCACTTTTTTTTGTTTGCTTTTTGTGTTTTGTATGGACTGTGTTAACCCCTCACCCACCGGACACTTCTACCCCCTTCCTGCCTACCGGGCACTTCTACCCCCTTCCTGCCTACAGGGCACTTCTACCCCCTTCCTGCCTACAGGGCACTTCTACCCCCTTCCCGCCTACAGGACACTTCTACCCCCTTCCTGCCTACCGGACACTTCTACCCCCTTCCTGCCTACAGGGCACTTCTACCCCCTTCCTGCCTACAGGGCACTTCTACCCCCTTCCTGCCTACAGGGCACTTCTACCCCCTTCCTGCCTACCGGACACTTCTTCCCCCTTCCTGCCTACAGGACACTTCTACCCCCTTCCTGCCTACAGGGCACTTCTACCCCCTTCCTGCCTACAGGGCACTTCTACCCCCTTCCTGCCTACCGGACACTTCTACCCCCTTCCTGCCTACAGGGCACTTCTACCCCCTTCCTGCCCACTGGGCACTTCTACCCCCTTCCTGCCTACCAGCCTACAGGGGCACTTCTACCCCCTTCCTGCCTACCGGGCACTTCCACCCCCTTCCTGCCTACCGGGCACTTCCACCCCCCTTCCTGCCTAAAGGGCACTTCTACCCCCTTCCTGCCCACCGGGCACTTCTACCCCCTTCCTGCCTACCGGGCACTTCCACCCCCTTCCTGCCTACCGGGCACTTCCACCCCCTTCCTGCCTACCGGGCACTTCTACCCCCTTCCTGCCTACAGGGCACTTCTACCCCCTTCCTGCCCACCGGGCACTTCTACCCCCTTCCTGCCCACCGGGCACTTCCACCCCCTTCCTGCCCACCGGGCACTTCCACCCCCTTCCTGCCTACCGGGCACTTCCACCCCCTTCCTGCCCACCGGGCACTTCCACCCCCTTCCTGCCCACCGGGCACTTCCACCCCCTTCCTGCCTGGGCACTTCCACCCCCTTCCTGCCCACCGGGCACTTCTACCCCCTTCCTGCCCCCGGGCACTTCTACCCCCTTCCTGCCTACCGGGCACCCCCTTCCTTCTACCCCCTCTTCCTGCCTACAGGACACTTCTACCCCTTCCTGCCTACAGGACACTTCTACCCCCCCTGCCTACCGGGCACTTCCATCCCCTTCCTGCCTACAGGGCACTTCTACCCCCTTCCTGCCTACCGGACACTTCTACCCCCTTCCTGCCTACAGGGCACTTCTACCCCCTTCCTGCCTACAGGATACTTCTACCCCCTTCCTGCCTACAGGACACTTCTACCCCCTTCCTGCCTACAGGACACTTCTACCCCCTTCCTGCCTACCGGGCACTTCCATCCCCTTCCTGCCTACAGGGCACTTCTACCCCCTTCCTGCCTACCGGACACTTCTACCCCCTTCCTGCCTACAGGCACTTCTACCCCCTTCCTGCCTACAGGACACTTCTAACCCCTTCCTGCCTACAGGGCACTTCTACCCCTTCCTGCCTACCGGGCACTTCTACCCTCTTCCTGCCCACCGGGCACTTCAACCCCCTTCCTGCCTACAGGGCACTTCTACCCCCTTCTTGCCCTCCGGGCACTTCTACCCCCTTCCTGCCCTCCGGGCACTTCTACCCCCTTCCTGCCCACAGGACACTTCTACCCCCTTCCTGCCCAGGACACTTCTACCCCCTTCCTGGACACTTCTACCCCCTTCCTGCCTACCGGGCACTTCTACCCCCTTCCTGCCTACAGGGCACATTTCTACCCCCTTCCTGCCTACAGGGCACTTCTACCCCCTTCCTGCCTACAGGACACTTCTACCCCCTTCCTGCCTACAGGACACTTCTACCCCCTTCCTGCCTACAGGGCACTTCTAACCCCTTCCTGCCTACCGGGCACTTCTACCCCCTTCCTGCCCACCGGGCACTTCTACCCCCTTCCTGCCTACAGGGCACTTCTACCCCCTGCTTGCCCTCCGGGCACTTCTACCCCCTTCCTGCCCTCCGGGCACTTCTACCCCCTTCCTGCCCACCGGACACTTCTACCCCCTTCCTGCCTACAGGACATTTCTACCCCCTTCCTGCCTACAGGGCACTTCTACCCCCTTCCTGCCTACAGGGCACTTCTACCCCCTTCCTGCCTACCGGGCACTTCCGGGCACTTCCCCTTCCTGTCCAGGCCAATTTTCAGCTTTCAGCACTGTCGCACTTTGACAATTGCGCGGTCATTCAACACTGTACCCATATGAAATTTTTACCATTTTTTTCTCAGAAATAGAGCTTTCTTTTGGTGGTATTTAATTGCCGCTGGGTGCTTTTACTTTTTGCGCTATAAACAAAAAAAGTGCAAAAAAGTTTCTATTATAACATTTTTCAAACAGGTAATTTTTCTCCTTCACTGATGTGCGTTGATGAGGCAGCACTAATAGGCACTGATAGGTAGCACTAATGAGGCGTCACGGATATGTGGCACTGACAGGCAGCACTGATAGGTGGTACTGACTGGCAACACTGCTAGGCATTGACTGGCACAACTGTTGGGCACTGACTGGCACAACCGCTGGGCACTGACTGGCAGCACTGCATTGATGGGCACAGGTGGGTGGCACTGGTGGGTGGCACTGCTGGGCACCGATCATCAGGGCACTGATCATCAGTGCCCTGATGATTGTGCCGATCCCTGCTCCGACAAGTGTCATTTCTCGGCAGTAGAAAGTGCAGCCAAGAACCGGCAATTGCATTTCCCGGTGATCAGCGTGTCATTGGTCACGACTGATCACTTGGTAAAAGGCCGCTGTGATTGGCCTCTTACCACATCACGTGATCAGCTGTGACACAGCGATCACAGAGATCGCTGGGTGCGCGCCCCCGGGGGCGCGCAGGAGAGCGCGTTCTGGGAGGTCGTCATATGACGCCCACCCAGAAGTGGCCGGCCGCAGTGTAGCCGTCATTTGGCTTTCTGCAGTTGGCAAGTAGTTAAAAAAAAATGTTTTTCAAGGCCATATGATATAATATATATATAATGTATTAATTTGTTATGACAATGTTATTGCTGATCATAACCATCCCGTCCCAGAAAGTAACAAATGCTACAGGGGTGAGATCTAAAAACAGTTAAATTGGGCCATCGGCCTTTCCACGCACATGACCTTTAATGGCCCCCCCAGTCTTAGTCCGTAGGGTTCAATATTGAGTTGGCCCCGCCCTTTCCACACACATGACCTTTAATGGCCCCTCAGTCTCAGTCCGTAGGGTTCAATATTGAGTTGGCCCCGCCCTTTGCAGCTATAACAGCTTCAACTCTTCTGGGAAGGCCCCCCACAAGGTTTAGGAGGGTGTCTATGGGAAGGTTGGACCATTCTTCCAGAAGCACATTTGTCAGGTCAGGCACTGATGTCGGGGGAGGAGGCCTGGCTCTCAGTCTCCGCTCTAATTCATCCCAAAGGTGTTCTATGGGGTTGAGGTCAGGACTCTGTGCAGGACAGTCAAGTTCCTCCACCCCAAACTGGCTCCTCCATGTCTTTATGGACCTTGCTTTGTGCACTGGGGGCAGTCATGTTGGAACAGGAAGGGGCCATCCCCAAACTCTTCCCACAAAGTTGGGAGCATGAAATTGTCCAAAATGTCAACTTAAGAGTTCCCTTCACTGGAACTAGGGGGCCAAGTCCAACCCCTGAAAAACAACCCCACACCATAATCCCCCCTCCACCAAACTTTACACTTGGCACAATGCAGTCAGGTAAGTACCGTTCTCCTGACAACCGCCAAACCCAGACACATCCATTGGATTGCCAGACAGAGAAGCGTGATTGGTCCCTCCAGAGAACACGCCTCCACTGCTCTAGAGTCCAGTGGCGGCGTGCTTTACACCATGGCATCCAACACTTTGCATTGCACTTGGTGATGGAAGGCTTGGATGCAGCTGCTCGGCCATGGAAACCCATTCCATGAAGCTCTCTACGCACTGTTGTTGGGCTCATCTGAAGGCCACACCAAGTTTGGAGGTCTTTAGCTATTGACTCTGCAGACAGTTGGCGACTTCTGCGCACTGTGCGCTTCAGCATGCGCTGACCCCGCCTGTCATGTGACGTGGCCTACCACTTGGGGGCTGAGTGGCTGTTGTTCCCAGTTGCTTCCACTTTGTTATAATCCCACTAACAGTTGAGCGTGGAATATTTAGTAGCCAGGAAATGTCACGGATGGACTTATTGCCCAGGTGGCCACCTATCACGGGACCACGCTTGGAGTCACTGAGCTCCTGAGAGAGACCCATTCTTTCACCAATGTTTGTAGAAGTCATCTGCATGCCTAGGGGCTTGATTGTATACACCTGTGTCCATGGAGGGGATTGGAACACCTGAATCACATGATATGGAGGGGATTGGAACACCTGAATCACATGATTGGGAGGGGATTGGAACACCTGAATCACATGATTAGAGGGCGGGCCCAATACTTATGGCAGTATGGCGCGTGTGAACCGGCACTCTGTTTCTCTCCCCCCTACTAGCTGATCGTACACCTAAAACTCTTCAAAAGACTACAGGTCCCCTTTACTGAGCAGTGTATGAAGAGTGGAAGACTCTGGACTGGCTTCAGGTTCAATGTCAGGGTTGCTCCCATGTCCACAAATGACCCAACATGACTCCACATGTGTGATGAGTCCACACTGACCCGGCTCTTTGTGTTCCACAGGGTGAAGGTCAGCCTGGATGGGCAGTTCTTGCACTACATCTTCCCCTATCAGTTCCTGGACTCACCAGAGTGGGAATCGCTTCGTCCCTCCGAGGAGGGGACATTCCAGGTGAGGAGACCACTCAGTCGTCTTTGAGGAAACCATGGTTGAAAAGGTATTCCAAGGGCTGTCCTGGTGATCCAAAGGCCAAGTCAACTGATCTTCAGATTAGGAGTCCTGACTTCTCTCTGACTTTCCAGAAAGAACTGAATCTGGAGGCAGCTGAGGAGCATTTTATAGAGGTCCAGGCAATAAAAATGGTCAAATGGAGACCACCAATGAGATCCTCTGTAGATATTCCGTAAACCCAAACTGCTGTCTGTGCTGATCTCCTTCAGCCTTTTCAGCCACTTCCCATCTCACTCCAGCTTTGGCTGCACATCATTGCTCTGGACAGGCTTCCTGATGGTGACCATGATGTGGCCATGATGTGGCCACACGACCACTCGTAGTCCTCTCCAGGCATGCACGATTGTGAATCTGACCATTGTCACCCTAGAACAGGAAGTTCCTGATCAAGGACTTGAATGTGCGGTGAAAGTACGGAACGTAATTCTGGTCCTCGGTTGATATCTTTGTGGTCATGATACTCAACAGACGATGAACTCTTGGGCGTGTGGTAAGGGAGTGGCAAATCTCGATAGCAAAGTCTTTAAGATGTTTATTGGTTAAGAGCATGAGGGATGGGTTAGGGTTTACCCCCAGAACATTTACCTGCCTGGCGAATTTTACTACCACTGACAGGTTCCCGTTGTTAAGGGCACCAGCAGATGCAGGCACTACCGAGTCCTTAGCAACCAGTGACATCACCGGCCCCATTCACCTACATGGCCAGAAATCCTCAGCCATGGCAGCAAAGGAGCTGGGGACGGGTGAGATGAATGACCTGCAGTCCCCCCATCAGTCACACCGATGAATGACCTGGAGTCCCCCCATCAGTCACACCGATGAATGACCTGGAGTCCCCCCATCAGTCACACCAACTCCTTCATATTTAGGGCTTCATCTCAGGTCTTCTAGTGCAGAATTCTCCAAACTGTGGCCCGCTGAAAGCTTTTATCCAGCCCCTTGATGTGGGATGGACTGTGAGGGGGACTCTGATAGGGATTCTAATGGAGATTCTGATGGGGATTCTGATTGGTACACTGATGGGGACTCTGATGGGTAATCAGATGGGGATTCTGATGGGGACTCTGACAGGGACTCTGACAGGGACTCTTATTGGGATTCTGATTGATACTCTTATGGGGACTCTGAAGGGGATTCTAATGGGGATCCTGATGGGTAATCTGATGGGGACTCTGACAGGTACTCTGCTGGGGACTTTGATGGGGATACTGATGGGGATTCTGATGGATACTCTGATGACTACTTTGATGGGGACTCTCATGGATACTCTGATAGGGACTCTAATGGGGACTCTGATGGGGATTCAGATGGATACTCTGATGGGTAATATCATGGGGATTCTGATTGGGACTCTGATGGGGATTCTGATGGGGATTCTGATTGATACACTAATGGGGACTCTGATGGATACTCTGATGGGGACTGTGATGGGAATTCTGATTGATATTCTGATAGGGACTCTGATTGATACTCTGATGGGGATTCAGATGGATACTTTGATGGGGACTTTGATGGGTAATCTGATGGATACTCTGATGGGGACTCTTTTGGGGATTCTGATGGGTATTTTGATGGGTATTGTAATGGGGACTTTGATGGGTACCTAGATGGGGACTCTGATGGGTACTTAGATGGGGACTTTGATGGGTACTTAGATGGGGACTCTGCTGCGTTCTTAGATGGGGACTCTGGTGGGTACTCTGATTGGGATTCTGATTGGAATTCTGATGGGGACTGTGATGGGGACTCTGATTGGGATTCTGATGGGGACTGTGATGGGGACTCTAATGGATACTCTGATGGGGACTCTGACGGGGTCTCTGATAGGGATCCTGATGGATACTCTGATGACTACTTTGATGAGGATTCTCATGGGGACTCTGTTGGGGATTCTGACGTGTACTTAGATGGGGACTCTGCTGGAGACTCTGCTGGGGACTTAGATGGGGACTCTGTTGGGGATTCTGATGTGTACTTAGATGGGGACTCTGCTGGAGACTCTGCTGGGGACTTAGATGGGGACTCTGTTGGGGATTCTGACGTGTACTTAGATGGGGACTCTTTACTGTTAGTACATTTTGCAGCAAAACCAAACACAAGGAAATGCAGTGATTGTATTGTTTGTTTGTTTCCCCTGTACCCCCCTCTCTCAGGTGACTCTGACGGCGGAGATGGACAGCACGTACATCAGCTGGCCCCGGAAGAAGCTCTACCTTCTCCTGGCCAAGGAGAAATACATCTCTCGGCTCTTCTCCTCGCTCCTCGGCTTCGACATTTCTCAGAAGCTCTACGCCCTGAACGACAAGCTGTTCGCCAAGTTCGGCCTCCGCTTCGACATCCGCCTGCCCAGCCTCTACCACGTGCTGGGGCCGTCCCCAGAGTTTGCCGGTGACGCACGACCTATGGCCGATCCCCTGGCCTCCCGCCTTCATCAGGATGACCCGCCCCTGAGGAAGGCCCCACCCCCGAGCAGCCGAGGTCCTCGGCCAGAGAGTGGCAACCTGGGTGAGGACTCGACCAGCCTCATTCTAGACGATTTTGCTGAGCTGCCTGGCTCCTTTATGGATTATGGGAGCGAGGGGGAGTATTTGAAGTGAGAGGGGTGCCGGGCAGCTGGTGAGGCAGTGCCCCGTAAGTACCACCCTGCCTGCAAATCCTTCGAGTGTGTGCTTGTGCTTGTCTAACCCCCCCCCCCCCCCCCCCCCTTACAGATGTCATTTGTGCTTGGAGTTTGCAGCGATGCGGAGCCCAAAGGAGACCGAACCAGTCCAGACGAGTTTTTTTCATAGCACATTATGGCCAGTAGATGGAGCCGATCACTTCATGTATGTAAACCCTAACAAGGATCGGCTCTTATTGGCTGCCTTTTGGTAAGGCCATCGGTGACACCCAACGAGTCCCTCACTTTGGAGGGATTTCCTTTCACTTCCTGTTTTGTCTATGGGACAGGAACTGAGGGGATATCTCCCGAACGGACCCTGAAGATCACTGTAGCCATATTCTGAGCTGGCAGAAACATCCACTTGGTGGCCCAAAGACCTCCCCTGACCATAACTTCAGTACAAACCAGTCAGATGGCCAACCATCGAGGACATGATTCATCACAGATCCCCTCCATCATAGATCCCCCTCATTACAGACCCCTCATCACTGACCCCCCTCATCATAGATCCCCTCATCACAGATCCCCTCATCACAGATCCCCATTATAGACCCCCAATCACAGATTCCCCTCCATCATAGATCCCCATCATAGACCCCCAATCACAGATCCCCTCCATCATAGATTACCCTCATTACAGACCCCTCATATCAGATCCCCTCATCACAGACCCCCCTCATCACAGACCCCCATCATAGACCCCCAATCACAGATCCCCTCCATCATAGATCCCCCTCATTACAGACCCCTCATATCAGATCCCCTCATCACAGACCCCCCTCATCACAGATCCCTCATATCAGATCCCCTCATCACAGACCCCCCTCATCACAGATCCCTCATATCAGATCCCCTCATCACAGACCCCCCGTCATCACAGATCCCCTCATCACAGACCCCCCTCATCACAGACCCCCCATCATAGCCCCTCAATCACAGATCCCCTCATCCCAGACCCACCCCAATCATAGACTTCTCATCACACAGCACCCTCATCACAGACCTCCCTCCCATCACCGACTGCTCCATCACAGACCCCACGTCATCATAGATCCCCTCCATCACAGATCCTACTCATCACAGACCCACCCCAATCACAGACCCCCCCATCATAGACCCCCAATCACAGATCCCCTCATTACAGACCCCCTCAATCACAGACTTCTCATCTCAGATCCCCTCATTACAGACCCCCCTCATCACAGACCCCCCATCATAGGCCCTCAATCACAGATCCCCTCATCCCAGACCCACCCCAATCACAGACCCCCAATCATAGATCCCCCTCATTACAGACCCCCCCATCACCAACTGCTCCATCACAGACCTCTGATCACAGATCCCCTTCATTACAGACCCACCCCAATCACAGACCCCCCCATCCCATATAGACCCCCAATCACAGATCCCCTCATTACAGACCCCCTCAATCACAGACTTCTCATCTCAGATCCCCTCATTACAGACCCACCCCAATCACAGACCCCCCCCTCCCCCCTCATAACAGACCCCCCATCACAGTCCTCCCTGCATATTACAGACTCCAGTCCCTTCCCCCCTCCCCACACTGTCCTACCTTATTCACACAAGATAGCAAGCATGGCCGGTCTGGATATAGGGCGGGACTTTTCATGTTAAAGGCGGGTAAATGATTGCTCGGACCGCCCCACTTCCTAGCAACCAATCACTCGCTCCCTAACATGAAAAGCCCCGCCCTATGTCCAGACCGGCCTGCATGAATAAGGTAGGATGTGATGTGAAAGGGACAGACCTGCTGCTCCTTCTTTGAGGATAATAGAGGCAGAAGTGGGCAGGTGAGTTGGAGGGGGAGGGGGGGGGACATTCAGGCAACCATTAGGTGAGGCTACGGTCCGGATCAGGACCGCGGTCCACCATTTAGTAATGCCTGCAGTATATGGTTCATCTCAAGGCATTAAGATGCGAAACGCGTCAAAGAAACATGTTTATTCAAGTCTCTGTTCCCTCCCAGTTTGGGGTCTCACTCCCCTTGCTGCACAACGACTGTTGCTATTCCTGCTGAATTCCTATAGAGGCAGAAGAAACCAACGAGCAGCATAAAGAAAAGCCAAAAAAAATGTGTGAAGTAATACACATTGATTACACCCAACCCCCCCTATACTCCCAAGGGGCTGTATGCTATGTGGAGGGTGACACCACTTTTTGCAGCCAGGCCCTGTCCCTCCACCCTTCTTCTGATCCTTGCTCTACCAGTGACACGACCCACCCTAAGTCCTTCCCCCCACCCCACCCCACCTAATTGCTCCCATTCATGGCACTCTCCAGGGGCGGACTGACCATTTGGAAACTTGGGCACTGCCCAAGGGCCGGGGTCAGTAGGGGGCCCCATGAGATGCCCCTGGAACCTTTTTTATAGGCTTTTTTGAGGCAAGGACACAGGGGCCCATGATCCCCTATTGCCCAGGGGCCCCATGAGTTGTCAGTCCGACCCTGGCACTCTCCCTGCAAGCCTGATTTCAGCTTAGAGCTGGTGTGTGGCAGTGCAGAGCAAAGATGAGTTTATAGCGGCTGAAAGGAAAATTGATCGAATTACTTTTAACCAAAAAAAAAAAAAAAAGCGACCTAAGCGCTCATAGAAATGTAAATTGGGGGGCTCGTCCGGGATTACACAAGAATGCGACCTAAGCGCTAAGAGGACGTAAATGGGGGGGGCTCGTCTGGGTTTACACAAGAATGCGACCTAAGCGCTAAGAGGACGTAAATGGGGGGCTCGTCCGGGATTACACAAGAATGCGACCTAAGCGCTAAGAGGATGTAAATTGGGGCTCGTCCGGGATTTACATAAAAATGCGACCTAAGCGCTAAGAGGACGTAAATTGTGGGCTCGTCCGGGATTACACAAGAATGCGACCTAAGCGCTAAGAGGATGTAAATTGGGGGCTCGTCCGGGATTACACAAGAATGCGACCTAAGCGCTAAGAGGACGTAAATTGGGGGGCTCGTCCGGGATTACACAAGAATGCGACCTAAGCGCTAAGAGGATGTAAATTGGGGGCTCGTCCGGGATTACACAAGAATGCGACCTAAGCGCTAATAGAATGTAAATTGGGGGCTCGTCCGGGATTACACAAGAATGCGACCTAAGCGCTAAGAGGACGTAAATGGGGGGCTCGTCCGGGATTACACAAGAATGCGACCTAAGCGCTAAGAGGACGTAAATGGGGGGCTCGTCCGGGATTACACAAGAATGCGACCTAAGCGCTAAGAGGACGTAAATGGGGGGCTCGTCCGGGATTACACAAAAATGCGACCTAAGCGCTAAGAGGATGTAAATTGGGGGCTCGTCCGGGATTGCATCAGAATGTTTTTGTGTATTAACCCTTCATACAGCATGTGTGTTGTGATCTATTCTAGCAAGGAGGGGGGGTGGAGGGATATGGGGGGGGGACTCTAGTGTCATGAAATATAAGACTGTTGTGTGTTTAGGGGAAAAAATGTATACATTTAATTTTTATTTAATTCATTAATTATCTCTCACCCTGTATGCCCCCCCCCCCATGGAGCAGAGCAATCTCCATATTTCTGCTATGGGCTTGTTGATTCAGTGATAACTTTGTCATTAATTAAGATAACAAAGTAATACATATATTGTTTGTTTTTTTTCTGTGTGATGTGTAAGAAAAAAATACATCAAAATGAAAAAAATTGTTTTTTTTCTTTTTTGAGCAGTGCTATTTTTACTGTATCCACATAATTCTATAATTTTGTCTAAAAATCAAACTAAAATGTTTCTGATATAAAGCGTAAAGCGAATTAACGTTCATTTTGGCACATTTTCTTTGTAGGTGACGCTGAAAATGTAAAAAAAAAAAAATGAACAGTTAAAATAAATACATAAATAAGAGTTAATTGGGGTTTATTAGGGGCAACTAAGGGTTAATTAGGGGTTAAATAAAAATATAATTAAAAAAAAAAAAAATTCTTTTAGTCCCCGTTCACATATCATGTAGCCCTGAAAAAAATGTAAAAAAATGAACAGTTAAAATAAATAAATACATAAATAAGAGTTAATTGGGGTTGATTAGGGGCAACTAAGAGTTAATTAGGGGTTAAATAAAAATATATTTTATTTAAAAAAAACAAAATTTACTTTTAGGCCCCGTTCACATATCGTGTAGCCCTATTGTGCCGCCATTCGCTGCCACAGCTGTCAATCGATTACTCACCGGCGCCCAGTGATTGCCGAGGATCTCCAATGGGGAGGAGAACTGTTTGTAAAAAAAAAAAACAGTTCTCCTCCCTGTCGGCTCGTGCATACTGCTTTGGATGGCTGTACACAGCAGCATGCTTGCAGTGAAGCACACGGACACAGCACACAGTTAACCTTTTGATCGCCCCTCATGTTAACCCCTTCCTGCCCAGTGTCATTAGTAGAGTGTCAGTGCCCCCGCAAGTTAGTTCCCCCTCAGTGTCAAAATTCTTGCCACAGTCCAGCTATAAGTCGCTGATCGCTGCCATTACTAGTAAAAATATTTTAAAAAAGAAATATATATACCGCCATTTGTAGGCGCTATAACTTTCACGTAAACCAATTAATTTACATGTATTGGGATTTTTTTTTTTAGCAAAGACACGGAGAAAATACATTTTGGCCTAAATTTATGACGAAATTTGATTTTTAAATTTTTTTTTTTCGTTGGATATGTTTAATAGCAAAAAGTCAAAAATATAGTTTTTTTTTTCAAAAATGTTGGTCATTTTTTTTTATAGCGCAAAAAAATAAAAAAAATGCACAGGGGATCAAATAACACCAAAAGAAAGCTCTATTTGTGGGAAAAAAAGGACAAAAATTTAATCTGGGTGCGGCGTTGCATGACCACGCAATTGTCAGTTAAAGTAACGCAGAGCAGTATCGCAAAAAATGGCCTGGTCAGGAAGGGGGAGGGGGGATCGTCT